TGGCGACATCAGTAACGTTTTCTACTGGAAAAATATGGGAACAAATCTCTATTTGTAGGTTAAAGCACTGCTGCTAACGACTCCAGGATAGACGGAGGTGGCAGGCCGCGGGCGCAGTCCCCGCCGTGCCCGCCACCATGCACCCAGCACCCAGCTCATCCCAGGCGGTCCTGGGCATTGGCGCCCAAGCGAGGCTTGTCTGACCTCAGGGTCCACTCTCACAAGTGCCCGGTAAATACTTTTGAGCAACACAACCTGCCCCCATCTCAGACCCGTCAGGAGGAAAATGAGGGAATTTTCTATGTTAAATATCACAAGTGACAGGCAGGTTCGTTGGTTTCTCTGAACGACCTCACGCTCCTCGCACGTCTCCGCACGGGGCTTAGAAGGACCAGGCACCTGCCCTCCCCATCCGTCTGCTCGCGCACAGCAAAGAGGCCCCGGGGGAGCCGAGGAAGGAGGCCCCTGGGGCCTGACAGTCACCCATGCCGAGTGGCCCCTGCTCCCTGAGGAGGGGAAGCAGAAGGTCCAGTAATTTGAGAGAAGAGCCAGTTAGCAATGGGAAAGGATTTCTTGGTGGAGCCAGAGAACACGAAAGCTTCCCAGGCGGTTCCGTGAAGGAAAGGGTGGACGCAGCCCAGCCGGCCTGGCTCAGGGGTTGAGCGTCGACCTAGGAACCAGGAGGTCACGGTTCCATTCCTGGGTGGGGCACATGCTCGGGTTGTGGGCTCAATCCCCATTAGGGGGCGTGCAGGAGGCAGCCGATCAAGGATTCTCTCTCATCGTTGATGTTTCTCTCTCTTCTTCTCCCAAATCAATGAAAATATATTTAAAAGAAGAAGGAAGGGTGGGCACAGACCACCACAGTGCCTGAGGAAGACCCTGGTCTCAGCTCACTCACTGGCTCAGCATCCTCACGAGCCCAGCGGGCAGGCTCTGTGCAAGGAGAGGGGGAGGTGGGGGCACAGGAAAGGGGCCTCACCTTAGAGACCTGGCTGTGGACAGGGAAGGGGCCAGCACACCAGGAACTGTGCATGTGCGCACTCACGTGTGACAGGAAAACTACCGCAGGGCAGCACACGCTGAACCCACCAGGACGCCCACTTATAAAGGCCTCCCTGAGGAGAGGGTGCTAAGCCATGATCTGAAGAATCCGAAGAAATTAACTGTTTCTGCAAATTTCAGAAAATTAGAAACAGGTAAATGCAATAAGAAAAATCAAGTGTTGCCCTGACTGGTGAGCTCAGTGATGAGAGCAGGATGCCCTCACCACCTCGCACCGCGGGGGCCAGGCGGGACCCACGGCCGGCAGGTGCCGATGGCGGCATCTGGGC